TATCAGTGAATGAATGTAAAGAGGGCGCATAGTCAGGCAGCAGAAAAGCATACTATCTACTCAGTAAACCTGTTGACTTGGAAGTTTTACAGAACGAAATCTGTTCAACAAAATAACTTTGAAGAGACGAAAACTTATTAAGATTATAGCCATGATTTTTATGGGTTCACATGAACATGTGACCAAATTGTTCTTATCGACTATTCCTCTTTCCCTTTCTATCTCACTTTTTTCTAAAGAAGCTTTCCATCGAATAATGTACTCTTTGTTCTTACATGGTCACTTTTGTTTTATTAGTAGATCAGTTTAGATGTTACCTTGTAATTGCATTTTAACTAAATCTAGTTAACTTATTGGTCTTCACAAATTTCAATTTTATTCTATTGGTAACAATCATTTAGATCCCAGTCGAAAATCGCAACTTGGTGTTAGATATGATCGAAAACAGTTAATACAAGAAGAACATCGACCTAGGTAAGTATTTGTCAATGATCTTACTAGCAACACATAATGCATATATTTTATCAATGTAGGGACGGCTTCCGAGAACTACGACGGAGCCTTCAGAGGCCTTAGAAGATCCGAAAAGTCCCATCTAATCAGAACTCAATGAAGCTTTCTAGAATGTCAACGTGGTATACTATCATTGATCAGTAGAGTAACATGCCTCTTTGCGGATTGGTTGAATTATAATGTTGATTTAACAAACGCCAATATCTATAAGTACCCATGATTTTCTGTATATTTTGATTCATTCCCAACAACCACTTTCTTCAGTCTTCTTCTATCATCTCATTTGCGACTTGGGAGGGTGCTAGAGTTCGAGTTATACGCGGTATATTAAGAATCTAAGCTCTAGATATAACACAAAGCCTAAATACAATAAAAAAATTTCTTTGAAAATGACCACAGTCGACAGATTAATGTTATAAGCCACATCTTGAACCTACAGATTCATGCACAGGATCTTAATTTTGATAGAATCAAGAAATGCGAAAAGACAAACTACCGACCTATTGAATTATATCGCAAGTCAGGTATAAATAAAATAATCACATCATTCTCTATTGACTTTAGTAAATAAACCCTTTCGTGAAGATTTCATTATTTCCATTGAATTAACTCATTATTATGAACATGGTAACTACTGCTTAGTTTGTTATTCCTCATTGAGCATCCAAATGCCCTGGTACGGCCAAGAGTGAGGAGAGTCATCTTTCCCTCTCGAACTGCTCTCACATGGCGACGCGTGTACAGCCATTGACAGCGAACGACAACTCACTGCCATCTCGCAGCTGGGGTGTTTTTTACGAAATTGAGATGACAAAAGGCGAATGTCCAAAGCCTTAACTAGGTTGATGGATATGGAGGATCCACCTAGGGGAGATGGAAAACCCTCATTCCAAATCAATGGTGCACATGGAATCTAGGATCCTGAAGGAACAAATGGCGTATGAACCAATCGTTGGTGATCGGCTACCATGAGACTGCATCTCCTTACGTTGCTCCACTGCCTTGTGGATCAAACCTTTAGGTTGACGTCTCCGAGTGTTCCCCCCTATGAAAACCACCTGTTTCGGTTTTGGTACCCGGGAAGTGTCCCAGACCTCACATAAATCGAATGATTTATGTGGTACATATCTATTTGCTGCCTGCTTGTACCAATGTTTAAATAAATAAATAAGGATTACTCATTGAGCAAGACATTTCGTAAATAGTTGAATCAAATGTGGATGTTAACAGTTGTTACTGTTATGATTACATCATTATTCTGTTATGATCTATTCTATACTTGTGATATACTTATTGCTAAGGCTTTAAAATAACATTAACTAGCTACTTACTTATAGTTGCTAGCAAAATATGGATAATATGTGAATAGTTAACCATCACTGAACTTAATGAATGATAGAATTTTAAGGAACACCAAGCTTTTTCCTTATTATAATCAGAGGTTTTTTGTAAATACTCTAGTAATTTTTAATAGTTGAATTCGTAAGTCAATTGAAACTAGATCACCATGGAAAACATGGAAGCACTGGATGGCCGTTTCATCCTAGTACAGGACTCCTCAACAGTGCGCATTCACGACCCCACTTCGCGAGATTAGAACCGAGTGTGGTGTGTGCTACTTATATTGACATAAGTAGTATATGATGTTGGTCGTGAACAGAACATGTGGCAGCAGAGAGACAAGAGGATCGAACAGTAAAGAATGGAAACAGGATGCACTTTGTATGAAAATGCAAGAACAATGAAGACTGAGTTATATTTGAGACAACTGATGGACATTTTGCAAAATTAAGCATTTACTTGATGATTGTTAGATTTTATTAACAAGTCCTGTAATATTGTGTTAAGTGCATTCGATTATCTCCACCCGTGTTCTGTTCACTACACCAGAACCTATCAGTTTCGCGCGTGATTGCTGAACCTTTAGACCGCTGAGCCAGTATTTAACGGTGTTAATTTCTAAATACAACCAATCCGTGAAGTTGCGCCACAGTCCACTATTGTCATCATTAAGTTACTATCTAAAAGATATCAGTTTGTAGGTTAGATTGACAGATTGCTCTTTCGTCCCTATTAGAGAATATGAATTATTTTCTGCTCTTTTCTTCTTATTTAATATAGATTATATCATAATTCTATACAGAACCAAGTTAATCAACAAAAGATTAAATTGGCCCAATTACGTGTTAATCGACTTCGAATGAAAATATACAGTGAAGTAAGTAATTCTATTTGTTTATTAATTACACTTTAGATTCTATAATTATTTACAATTCATTGATCACTAGGTGATGATCAATATCATGTATGTCAGGTCATTCTTAGTGCAGATCGAATCCTATTGGCTAAGTTTCAATGTGGCCACTAGTCTAGGTGACTCGAAATTGCGTCGAGATAAGATGGTGATTGGAGATAGTTAACAGGAAACCCTGGACCCGGGTTTCGTGGTACCAGGCACCCATCAGCAAGGTATACCTGTGACCTTGAGGGAATTGATGCTTCCTGATGGATTCGATTCCGTGTCATCCAGCTCCACAGTCAGAGATGTTACTACTGAGCTAACTGGGCAGCGACTGACCTCCTGTAGGAGTGAGATGTAATCACAATTGATTGATCACTGGGTGGTGATCAATGTTATGTATGTCAGATTCTTCTTAGTGCAGATCGAATCCTACTGACCAAGTTACAATATGGTCACTAGTCTAGGTGACTCGACATGGAGTGCACTATGTCAGGGAGCATCAATTTCCCCAGGATTACACGTACATCTTTGTGACGAGTGCCAAGTGGCACGGAACCCGGTTTTAGGGTTTACTGTTGACTATCGCCAACCACCATCTTATATCTGTTTATTGAGTTTTTTTTTATTATGTGTATGTTTGTTGAAATTTTTTTATTTTAGAAAATTCTACGTTCTGTACTTCATGGTAATTCATCGTCAATAATATTTAAAGAAATTTGATAGAATCGCAATTTTGACATGTTGGAGAAGATTTATAACTCAGATGGATGATTTTGATAGAGTATTTTTGTTTCTCTGAGATAGATGATTTGATTGTGGAATATTCATCGTTCTTCTAAACAACATCATCAACAACACAAACTTCAAGTACAAGTGAAGTGTTCGAATTGTGTTGATGATTATCGTTGAAAAGAACGATGAAATCTTCATGACCAAATCATCCACCAGCTCAAAGAACAATACTCTATCATAATCGCGATTGAATGTCCTAATATATATATATATATATATATATATATATATATATATACATACACATACACATACATTATATTTGAAGTAATGCTTGAAATGATTAGTAATGAGAAACAACTTTTACTGTAATTTAATGTTAACATTTTATTAGGTTTGTCTTGTTAACTTTTATTTTTAATGGTTTCAGGATGATTTTAACTTTATTAACATAGAATCCATTCACCATTTCATTCATCCCTGTGTCATAATTATGATTTATAAGCTGCTTGAATTAGTTACAATATAACTTACAAACTTCTTTTTTTTTAAAAAATAAACTTGGTTCATCAACTTTCAATTGTATTTTCACACGTATCGTACTATTCCGTATGAAATTTGTTACCTTGTTTTCAATATAAATTGATTGTACTATTTTATGTGTTGAGTCTTGTATTCGCTGACAACTAATGATTATTTATTATAATATTGATACAATGAGACACCAAATACATATGCGCCACACAGATCTCATTTGATATGTGTGAGGGCTGTAATACTGCCCAGGTGCCCAAACCGAGGCAGGTGGTTTTCTTAGGGGGCCACAACCGGAGTCTTCGACCTAAAGGTCTGATCCACATAGCAGTGGAGCATCGTAAGGAGATGCAGTCCCATGGTAGCCGGTAACCAACGATTGGTTCACACACCATTTGTTCCTTCAGGATACTGGAGCCCATGTGCACAATTGGCTTGCAATAAAGACTTTCCAACTCCACTAGATGGATCCTCTATATCCACCAACCCGGTTACAGCATCGGATATTCGCTTTTCGTCCTCTCAGTTTTGTAAATAAAAACCCCCGCTACGAGAAAGCAGTGGGTAGGATTTCCCTGGCAGAAGCTATATACACACGTGGCCATGTAAGAGCATTTTAAGAGGGAGAGCGGACTCTCCCCACTCTTGGCCACACCAGGGCATTTGGGGGCGTTACTTACTTACGCCTGTTACTCCTCGTGGAGGAACATAGGCCGCCCACCAGCACTGTCCGCCTGTAGCTCTTCTAGAGTTACTCCCGGTCCCAAGTCAGAGTAAAGGAGGGGCTTGGGCATGGGGTTAGCGACCCCATCCCGTAGAAAACTCACCAAAAAAAACGCTAACCAGAAAAAATAATTCAAACCAGTCTATAAATTAGGACCAGTTTAATCTTATACATAACTTTTTTCCTTGAGGTATATTCACGTTTTACTAAAAGCTTTGTTTCGATCTGAAAACAGGTCGGATGAGGTGAAGTGTCCTAGAATATTAGGCCATAGAACAAAACATAGTACTAATAAACTAAATTTAGTTCCTACATGCAGGTGTATAGAACAAATACACCATATTCAATCAATACTGCTCTGTATAATTTGAAACGAAACTTAAGGGTATGTTATTGAAGTGAGGAGAGTATGTAATAGTAAAAATAACATAGATTTATACATCATCATAATCTGTATTTACTGCACCTTTGAACTCATTTGTTTTATCAACAGTTAGAATGTGAATAGGAAAACGCCAATTAAAGGCATGAGTAATAAATGAGTCAATTTTGTTCAGTGATATAGATCGACGGAGATCAGAGAAAAAACGATAATATTGGTGGGAATTGTGACTAAAATTGTAAAGAAAGAAACAAATTAAACTCATGGATTTTGGTTTTCAAAGTAAACTGAAAAATAAATTGTGTAAAACGTTCGAATGGTATGGTATAGTATGATATCCAAATAGTCGGGGGGGGGGGGTATTGTTAAGCTTTACAATTATTACCTTTCAAAAACTGACAGGAGTTGAAATATGATCGAAAAGTTCACAACCACCTTTACTATACAGCAGAAAATCCGTTAATTTGTCTTATCTATGGACTTTTTAATGAGAATAATTTATCATGAATTATTATTAGACAAGATTTCAACATTCTAATATTGTATACAGTAATACTGAGCAGACTTTGTTTTGTATGAAAATAAACCAATCTAATGTTCTGATCTATTTTATTGCGACCAAGCTACTCTAACTGGTTATTCTTTGGATGCGACTATTTCACTCGACAAGTCCCCAAATCAAAACACAGTTGAACAGGAACGTAATTATATACATATATATATATATATACATAATTTTATACAAGAAGGCTCCCGTCCTACTTAATTACTCGCTAGCGCATTGGCTAAGAAATGGTCAGACAGTGCGCTCCAACACAATCCTGCACAGAGCGTGCTTCAATTCAATCTGTCCTGTTGACACCTAGATGTCAGTCGTTTTATTTGTTTGGGGTTAAAGGTACTAGAGTATTAGAACAACGATGCCATTAGCGTTCGCTGTTCCAAAGTTAGATAAAATTACCAGTCAGACGGCTGTTAAGCTTGCTAGATACAACTAAGTAAAATAGACGTTTAGTCGGGAGTGTATGTGGTCTGAAGTCTGTTTTAATTCAGAGTCCTGTTGGCGATTGTATCAAAATTAAAACTGAAACTATATATTTCAATATGACGGCATACCGATTATCAGGTCGGATTAAATGAAGTTGTGTAGTACTATTGATACTTGCTGGTCTTAAATGTATGCCGAAGATTACAGCTTCAACGCCCCTGAATGTCTTAGTACTGTCGGCGGTGAGCTCATGCTCTCTCTTGAAATGCCCTCATGTGGCCATATGTTTATAACTTTTGACAAGGAAGTCCTAATTACTGTTTTCTAGCGGCTGAAGTGTTTTACGGGAGCGAAGGAACAAGGACGGAGGACCTAATTGTAGGATTTGAGAGATCCAGACTTAAAACTGACTGTATACACTATCTCCATGCTTCGTGAGGACGAACAGTGTCACTAGTTACCATGGCACTAAAGGTCCTGACGTTGCACAACGGACTATACCTCCATGTCGAGGGTTCAGGGAGTGACCTCTTAAGAAAACCAACTACTTTTGCCTCAACGCCTAACCAGCACCCCAGACACTGCACAAACTCCTCTGTTTTAACTTTCTTTATTTCCAGTTTATGTACACTTCTACTCCTTCGACAATCAACAATTTGTCTATAGAGAGGGTTTTGTCTTGTTTAAACGGTCTCGTCTTTGAATAGTTGACTTATGGGTGTTGTGATAGGATACGATACTTGATACAACTCTTTCGTAATTATGTATGCCATTTGTACTGGTCTGTTTCAACGTCAGAACTTTGGTACACATTGAACAACAAATACTTTTAGCTCTGTCTTCGAGAATTCGTTGTTTGCAGGTCTAATAACGGTGACCATCTAATGTAGATGCGTAGACCAGTCTGTTTCCAACTAACATTAACTTCTTGCATAGTTATAGACGACATAATACCTGGTGTCCTGTTTGTGATTCAACCCTCGACCAAGATTGATCACATCGCAACTGGCTTCTGTGGAGTTTGTACACCACCGTACCCTGAATACTGAGTAGAATTGATTGCTAATCCGTCAGGTTTTCTTGAAAAGATCAAGTTCCAACGTTATATGCAAAGTTAGTGAATTGACAAGAACAATTATTCAAAGTTAACTGCAACAGACTATTCACACTCACGAAATATGTAAATAATCATTGGCGTAAACGATTATTGAATATAAAAAAAAAGATAAAAAGACAACTCACATCATTAGTAACATAGGAGCCAACATTTCTTGGGCAATATGCAAATGAGATATGTATATCCGTGTGTGGTGTAAACATGTGAAACAATTACATCCAGGTTGAATCGGTAAGTGCCACTCCTCTGCATCCAAATTATAGGACTCTTCAAAGGGAAACTCTAAGAATTTTGGATCCGAAACCATGCTAGAGAGGTTATTTTCATTCCAGTCTTCGTAAATCCAACCAATCCCACTGCGACTGAGTCGGTATGGCAAACTACCATCAAATATGTCACATCCTGAACGAGCTGCCAGGGCAATATCACATGGTTGCCATATTTGAGTAATAAAACGTGGGAGATGAGGTGGAATGTGAGCGAATACTTTGGGCAAAGTAGTGGTTAGGAATTCGTGTAAACCTTTGTTTTCATCGCTATAGTTTTTGACTTCAACTGAAGATACAGGCAAATCTCGAAGTACACCATCAATTACTACACCTGAATATGATGGAAATTGGCGGAATTCACACATATATTGATACATATCGTTTAAGAAAAGTATAAAAAATTTTCCGAGATAAATAAATTTTAGTCAGTGATACATAACCACAAATTCCAAAACCCTAGCGCATTTCACTTTTTATTCATACATTACGTCTATTTGGCATTGCTGACCCGTCTTTACCAATTTTGATGATTGACTGCTAACGTTTCTTTAAATTTTCTATATGGGATGTAGTAGGGATACAACTATTTATTGCTCAAACTCCAGAAAACAAGTGAGACATGAGAAACTTCATTTTATCTGGGTGCCACTGCTTCCAATGATATCAATCACTTCATGTAATATCAGTTTCAATTCACTGAATTGCAAACATCGTTATCAGTTAAGAACAAGGAAGTTAGAATTCTATGTTTTCGTATCAGGATATGGACAGTATTTATGTGATGATACGACTTTACTGCTTTACTGAAGTAAATAAAGAATTCGAAACTGTGATAATACTCGGTAGTGAAAAGTTGGGATATATAGTATTTGAAACCTGATATTATTATGGAGTTAGAAAGTACAACTGTTATGAATGTATTGAAGGAAGTCCGGAAAGCTATACAAATCTTGAAACTTTTGTAAGTACCGATTTCCGTCTCTATTTACTGAACGTATATTGAACAAAAAGCATGATCTAGTTAAAAATAAACATAGAAAACCTAGGTTAGACCATGGGTATATACCTGAACAAAGTGAGAAATCTGTTTCAGCGACTGACTGAAGACGAAGCTGTAGATTATAACCACCGGCGATGGATACAAGTACCGACCTTTTAGCGAACTCCTTACAAATAAGAAAAAAAGGTTAAGCTGTAGATTATGAGTGTTTTTACATAGAAGCGAAGACAAAGTTACACAAATCAACTGTTGTTTCTGAGTTCATATTCATTCATAAAACGCGTCGGAGTTAGCAGCACTATCCCACTATATAACTCAGCTCAGACTGTAACACTAACCGGATAACCTTCGAGACCTAACGTCAACAATGCTTGGTTGGTGGGTCTATTACACAAGAGGAACGGTTTGAAAAAAAAGACATTAATGTGTTCAGTTACTTCATCGCTATGTGGTATAAAAACGTAGTTTATGAGGTATACTTGTTCAGCTGTCACAGGTGGTGAAAATTAAGCTTTGGTCAGTCACCAGTACAGAGAAGAGTCAAGACATCCAAAAAATTGGTATAATACAATACAATCAATGACTTTTGTTTCATAAGCTGAAAAAGCTCTGATCAGAATGGGATTTTATCGTGCACATAAATTGTTTTCATAGAAGAGTGGAGAGTAATTGAAGGTTGTCCGACGGATAATATTATGTTCACAAAAGTTCGTCAGCATGTGATGATAAAAACGGAGGGAATACTTTACAATGGCCTACGAAAAGCCAATTATCCTACGACTTGGAAAGACTGATTGTGGACCAGGAGCCTCGCTAAAATGGTTGTATTCAGCTCCTAAACTAATTTCGTCATAAAAACAAAAACTGATCATTTATACAGTCAAAAGTGGACATATTCTCACCATATACCAAATCAGATTGTTTACCAGTTTACAAGAGCGTGCTGAAGTACATACATTAGGACAAGAGTTATTGGTCATACTTCCCTAATCCAAAAGACAAATTCCACGGCAATCGTGACTAACATGTCAACATATTTTTATCAATACAGGTAAACTTATAACATTTTAGAATGACATATTAGCTGGATCTATCTACATGAGACGGTCTTTTTACAAACGGTTAACTCGATCTATCGACTAAACACTTACAGTGTCAGAAAGTTGTCTGAAATTACAAATGAAAAAATCTAAATAGCTACACAAGGCATCATTTTCTATCAATACAGCATACCTCATGAGATGTACATTCTGAAGCTAATTTCTTCAAGTACCCTGAAGTGCGGACGACGGAATTCGTAATTCGCTTTAATGTTGGATTCACATCTAACAGGAAAGTTTCGTTGTCAGTTGGCGCTTGGAATGCTGTCGGTGACGCAATCCTACTGCACGTAAAATATTCCGCAATCGACAATTGCAACCGCCCACCAGTTGTCCAAACTGGGACCGACGATTTACTAACGGCCGCTACAGTCGCCAAGTGGGTTGGATCTGACTGGAATAGGAACGCACCACGTTTCTAAATAGCCACGTTAACAATGTAACGTCATACCCCTAAACCAGCAAATTTGACAATACCACCACCGAACTTCGTTAGAGAAAACCTGCGTTCCGCTCTATAAATAAACTCAGAAGTCATTCATAAACATACACGTAACCCATGGAAGCGAAAGAAAACTCTGGTAATAGCTCTATTTTCTCATAAACGTCTGGAGGAAGGAAAGGAACACTACCTGAAAATAACTCATATAATTATATGTCACAAACCATATCTTGTGTACAATAGACATCCAGGAGTTTGTAAGTTTATCTGAAGATGGTTTGTGCTCTCTGAAAGTTTCCCCAGACGCATCCATTCACCGAAAGTATGAAGAACATCGTACTTCACCATTATGTATAACGTAAGCACCCAATAAACCAAATAAGAACGATTGGATCTAGGTGGATAGAGATGGTGTGATATTTAACCGTTGGTAAGTTTGGGTCTAGTCGGTAGATAAGTTGTATCGAGTGAACGAAAGCGTATGTACAAAAATGTGGAAAAATGATGTGATTCGGAAGTACGTACTGTACATTCACAGTCACTAGAGTAGCAGAAAAGCGTGAACTCGGAACAATTTAATAAGCTAAGCTGAGGAAAGTGATGTTTTAAACGTGGTAAATTAACAGCGAACATAAATCAAATAGCCCCTAGTGATAAAAATAATGTTTCCATTTAACCTGAAGGTATGATGTCCCAAGGTTGTGAAAGATCAAGTAGAGTGGGAACAAGAGAAAAATTATACCAAAGACTTAGCAAAATGTTTAAACTTAGAAATAATAGAACAATCGGCAACAATTAGTGCAGTATAAGAGTAAACTCAGGGTATTTTGGAGATCGTGAAAGATACAAACAAGATTTCAAATGCGTTACGTTATAGAAAACCAGGTTGTGTTGTCGATAAATTTTAGCTGGCGGACAGGCTGAAAGTTATAGGACGAAGAAGAACTACGATGGACTGTATACGATCACGTTCAAAACCGATAATTATATTCAACCGGGGCGATTAAGTCTAACAACGATGGGAAGGTGCAACTCAAATAAATGCCTAGGAATTTCCATAAATTAGATTCTCAGTTAGGTGAGTACAGGTCTTTAGCTTGATGAACCTAAAACAAGCGACAATCGCTCAACTATACTTATCCATCAACCAATTAGAAGTAACCTTCAGCCTAAGATTACGAGGAATAAGTTACCTTATGTCACGTTTTAATCTATTGTGTTGTTTATTTGCAAGCAAAAATCTTGTCTCCAGAACACAAGGCGTAGAAAGTCCCTCGACTTCTTATCGTTTGTCCATGTTTCTTCAGACTTATTCTCGGACGTACATTATGAGAGACCTGTTTATTAGATGTACCACCTGATTGTCGAACTAATTCGATTATTCGTGTTGCAATCGTTCACTATACCAGTACCAACGACACATTAATGTATGTTTATTATCATGCACTTTAAACGAAATGACTACTTGGGTCTATATTAAGCGCTTTATCATTGATGATAATGAGATCAATAATTTAATCGTCTATCTTAATGCAACTAATCGTTAATTAGCGTTCAGGTTGTGCCTACTAAAATAAATAGCTTATTGTGGTTAACTGACTTGAAGTTGTCTGGACATTGTATCTAATTGCTTCTTCCTTTACTAAGTGATACTGTTTATTTCATACGTACTGTTTCTGATTACTGAAGCGCCTAAGTAATATAATTGCTACACATGTAATTGTTAAATCCCAATCTCCCAATTTCGGGGGAAATTTGCCCCATTTTGGGGAAGCCACTATAGAAAATTTTTAAAACCCCAATTTTTTTCAAAATTTAGAGAGAACTGGGTTTTTCCCGAAGTTTTATTGTTATGTAACAATTACATTATTTAGGCTCTGATCATATGGGTCGACTCTTAAGATTATAATCCGAACTCACACTCACTACTATTCACTGACATCAGCTCTGTTTTTTGACATCTAAGCTGTCTATTTTAGATGGCTAAAACTAAGTACGTATCACTAATGATCTCAATACTCATACTTTGAAATAGATATCCTATGATAAAGGTCGTAAATAAATAGTATACTATAAATTATAATTCAATGACGACACCATTCCGCAAAGTGGTAAAAGTATCTAGACCACATAGAGATACCAACACATGTAGAGTAAAAATCAAAAGTGTCACGGGAAATAGAAATTTAGATTCAACCAATATCCAATATCTTTGTCGCGATTTTATATAAACCGAATGATTTTCTTGTGCTTACTTCCAGCTGTTTTAATACAGTTGCAGGCATTTTATAATTTCTAATTGTTGGTAGTCTAGACACTCGACTACACTAGTTCTAGCCAGTTTGGTAGTTATTTGTAGATTGGTATATCATTGACTATGAAAGTGTGTGTTTGTCTCAAAGGGGTAGGATTTATGGTTACCAGAAACTATCACATTACCAGGCAAGAGGCTGGTTAGTTGTCATGTGAAAATAACAAAGCGATAATTCGAGTGAAAAGAGAAGACGATTGTTTCAAGAATAAATTGGTAATATATAAGGAGATTGAATCGAAAGAATAAAAAGGGGAACCTGAGTGATAACTGGAGAGTTAGCAAGTAGATGATGATAACCGGTGATGATAACCGTGATAGAATGTGAAACATACATCAGGAGGCTGTAGAGCCAGTGAAATGTCACTGAGCCTTAGCCAAATCATTCAACAGTTGGGTCACAGAATATCGAACAAATCATCGATCCTCGTCAAATTCAGGGACAACCAACGCACATCAGTTAATCATATGCCATGGACTAGCCCGTCTGGTGGTGGTCTTACTATCTTCTCTGTACTCATTCTTAAAAACACATTTCGGTAATAACGTCCTTCGTGTCGTATGGTTTTCAGAGCATCCTTAGTACCTTGATCATACGTAATGTTGATCCCCATTAGGTGCTGGCTGCGAGTTGTGATTTCGGCGTTAGGTGTTGGTCACAACATTCCTATCTAACTCAAGTAGCCTCTCAACCATTCGACATAGATCACCAACGTTGATGATCTACAAGATGGCAACTCGTGTATCAGCAGGTATCAATCAAATCTCTCTTTAAAGCTAACCACTGATGGTACTGTGGTCATTTTGATTAGGGGAGAATTGCAAGTTGAGACAACTCATACAGAGAGAAAGTGAGAGCGTACCTGGGTGTTCTCTCTTTGGTGCGTACTCTTTCGAGGGTTGACACGAGCAAAGTGGTGTTGATGTTCTAGTAGTATTCTCTTCTCGCAGTGGCTTGGCAGACTTAAATCAGGTATGATATCATCAGATCACCTCTAATCCTCTTGCAGATTGATGAGAATAATCACAGGCGTTGAATTTTAATCTCCTACAAATTATGTTTTAGCCACGCTAACAAATTTGATGTCTGCCTTACACATTATCCTCTTTGTTACTCGCTGATCAACCATGTACAACAGTTTTCAAGTAACCCTCTGTTACAGTAAAACCATAACCCACTTCAAAAGTCCCTTTTATGACTTACTCTTCTAAAGCGTTTTGTGTCAACTATTAATATCAGAATGATAACCAATCGTCTATGAAACAAGGTCCGGTATTTATTTAATTGACTATAGAGCAAAGCAGAAGCCTCGAAATTTCTCTGCGTAATTTTTTTCACGAAACTACTAAAAGTCCGCTGTTGTTCGTGTTTATTATTATCATTATGATTGGTCCTCTGATACATTAGACATTTGATTTACTTTACTCCCACCTTATTTCTTAATTAATGAACTTTACTCCTATCCACCTGCAGTATCTAGTTTTTAAAAAGATTGTTCTGCAATACACATACTCAAATAAACCGATTTTTAAGATTTATTCAATCTGGCCCACGCAAATAGATATATGCCAATTACTCTCTGCAATTGATTAAGAATTCCATCGCATCATTCTGAACTATTTGCATGAATTATTATCCAATCATCAATTTTATTACATCGATTATTTGTCTGTAATTCCTTTTGTAATACATATGTTATCATCTATTCTTGTTTTGTTTCCCAAACACAGTAAATTGTTCATACATTACACCTCACCTCCCTTCATCCTTATAATAAATTCAACTCAATTTCCTTTTAAATGCTGCAAAACCTGTTTAAATATTACGACTATCATGTAAACATCGTGGAAATATGTGTAGATTTTCATTTCTGATAAAATCCGAAAAGAATTCTCAACGACAGTTATATACTAGTGAGTTGTTTGTGAATAATCATGATAATAGTAATAATAGCATCTCTGGTTGAATGGACATTACATGTGTTTCTTGACTTTCAGTAGGGCTTCATGAAGGATGTTGTTCTCATTCATGTGTTCCTTCATTTGTTCATTGATCAATCTTTCCATTACCTTCGACATTATTTGGAGTAACGCAACATATCTGTAACGGTCTGTATCTTTTCTATCTTCTCTCTTGAATATAGGAAAGAAAGTGGTCTGCCTCGTTCTCCAGAGAGCTGTTAAGGATCAAGTGAGCGTCAGAACAGATCACAAACTGATGTGCTGATGGCTTCCGCTCACTGTTATAGGATAATATTTTGGATGTTGTCACATCCTGGTGAGTTTGAAGTACTCAATGGTTTGAGTTTCTTTAGTACTAAATTTGGAGTTAACCGAATATTATCCACACGCTCTAGCGAAGCTTAATCGCCTCAGAAACACTTGCTGCTTTATTGTTTATGCACATGTAAATCCAAAGAACCTACCAGCTATCTTTCCTAAAATAGCGACGGAGTAGTGTAATAAAATGATGAACTAACCAGAAAACCAGTGGCATCGTCTGGCTCGTCATTGTTTCGTCTATTGATGTGTAAGCCTTTCTGAATATCCCACCTGATACCTCAATCGTCTTCCGTATCATTCATTGGTATTCTTCCTCCTGCACTGTACCCTTCTGCTGTTGACAGTGACTCACGACACTTACCGGCTCAAACTAGAATCCACCACCGAAAAGGAGAGTAGTTCTGACCACTAATCAACATGGGGGGCAAACCAGAATTCAAATAAAGGCCAGACATAGTAAGAGGACAAATAAAAATCAAATCTGTCGCGACTAGAATGTTCACGTTTAGTTTGAATGTGAAATAAAACTAAATAAATGTGATCAACTACCAGACCTGACAAAGTGAATATAAAATCATATAGAAAGCAGTTTTGTGTCGGAACATTAATAAGCTCCAGTCACAGGTAAAGTGAGAGATTTTCGGGAACCATGCTGTTTACAATTTTCATAGTTTTAAGTCATGAACTGATCTCAGACTACCATTGGCAACCTGGAAGCACGAGATGGTTGTTTAGTCTTATTATTTGACGCTTCAGCACCGAACGAAGTTAGATATCAACATCATTGGATGACGGCTCAGTGGTCTGACTAGTGAACGTTTGTGCTTGAGATCTAAGTTCTTGTGTTTGTTTCCCTGGACACGCACTTTGATGAGACTACTTAATAGGATCAAAACAGACATGGAGTGCTACCTGGCTTCAAACAATGATAGTCAGAGATGATAATGAGATCAAACAGCTATCATGCTTTAATTGGTTATTTCAGATGACCTTGATCCGCAGGCAGGAATTGTAGAAGCACTGGCTACAACCAGAGCCACAAATATTGAGACTATTTGTCTGAGAGATGAGAAGTTAATACAACTGCACAAAACTTATATTAACACCATTTTATCAGTCTTGATATTTGTAGATTGACTAAAGATTTCGAACAGAGACGTGCATTTTCCTGCTAGCAATTGGATGTCAAATGAATTGACAAGAGCTCAAAATGACTCGATAGTAACAGTGAGGTGAACAAAAAATAACGACACAAGATTCTATCACCAGAAATATCAAACAATGATTTTTCATTCTCAGGAGGAGATATGAACGTTTTACACCTGTCACGATCTGTAACTTTGTAGAACTTTATCCAGATGTGATTTAGATCTGCTTTTGGCTAAAAGTTTAAACTTACAGCACAACTAAAGCCTACATCATCCTCCACTTCGTTCAAATACGATTACTGATAGTGTCTACTGACAATCATTTAACGCTAGTCAAGGGCTACATCTCTTCACATCTCAGAAGTACAAAATCGTTGCTTCATCTTTCATTAAATTCTCGTATACCAAGTGTTAAGATTATTACAGTACAGAAGAACGAATTTGATTAGCAATTATAAGACTATCCCGCTGGGCTATGGAAGAATAAGAAGTGGTCCGATAATAATGTGCAAAATCTAGATATTCTATTCATATCGAGAGTTCACTACCTTTTGTTTCGAATTTCGTCTAGCAATGTGTACTGAGAGATCGATGTTGTCATTCATTCATTCTGCTCACATTACTATCTATCACCCACACTTATATGCCCTTTCAAAATAATTATCTATATAGTCGACCTGTTAATACGATTTTGATCATACTATTCTGTAGTTTGACTTTGGTATTTTTATACCATAGTCAACTGTTTACCCATCAGATCATATGAAATCTGGTGGTTTCGGAACCCCATTATTGGGTTAAACATATTCAGCTGCATTAGAGTCTGATATGACTTTTCCAGCTGCTCACAAACAATTAAAATGTTCAAGTTCGGAATATCCAGCTACTCGCAGAAACATCAACTCCATGTTTCTTTGACGACAGAAAAATGCAAGATCATAACTTACTACTACCACCTAATCAAAGCTGAACCCCTGTTTAGTAGACCTGATTGGTTCGACCATTTTTGTATTTTTATTTGTTTTAACTGCAATATCTACGTAACCGATCACTTAAAAACGCAGGTCTTATGGACAGGTTGCTGGTACTACATGAAATGACTTCCTGAGTTGGTCAGATGTAAGTCTGCAGGTTCAAGTGATTTTAAGACTTTATTCCTGTGTGGTGTGTGCCCATGCACATTTTCGAAGGCTGTAATTTTGAGCACTTGTTCATTTTTTTAAAAACCGTATCATATTTTTCTCATCTGTTTATCCAGTAACACGTACATTCATGAGATTCCCACCAGTATCGACACCATAAGCACAAGAACAACTGATCAAGGTTTTATCTTAAGGGATGACTATGTGTCCGAAATGCTGAAAAATGACCACAGGCACATAAGAATTTAAAATAAGACCACGAAAAACATCACAGAATAACAAATATAGT